AAATAGCGCTAACTCGGTTACAGGGCATAGAAATGAAAGGCTCCCAAATTTACATACAACAACATACTTTCAAATGGGGTTTGTGGATCCGTACCCCTCTGGCCCCTCCTGGGCCCACTTGCACAAAGCGATCTTAGTGCTAAGATGATCCTAACTCCCATACTTTAACATAGGCTTACAATAGTCTTAGCGCTAAGATCGCTTTGTGCAAGTGGGCCCAGATCAGCCTATGTAAATGTCATTGTTTCTGCCCATGTGCAGTGATCCTGACATGACAATATACTCCAATATGTCAGACAAAATGCATCACTTTATTAATGCAAACAAATGCAAACAAATTTTCCATTACGTTCCTGATTACAGAATGTGAAGCTGGCTGTGTCATTGAATCAGGGGCAATTACTGCAGGTGTCACAATACTTCTGCTGATCCTGGCGTCAATAAAATTTAACCTAGAAACTTCTGTCAATAGCTGGACACGTGTTAAGTGTGCACAGTGCCAGGATAACCACTAGTATTTATAACAATAGCAGCATCTGGTACACTGTGTTTGGTGAGTGCATATGATTAAACCAACTGTATCATAATGTACAACATTTCTCAGAAGATACTTCTAAATGAAGGGAAGTAATTATATGTGAGCCTCAAAATGAAGTTAAGGTTGCAAATGGGCTGACATTATTTATCATAATAATGGAGATTGTTTCTAGTGTGATGTCATTCCAATACTCTGTTGTCTCTGACCCTAGGGCCCATGTGGATGTGGAAGTGAGGTGAGGTGAGGTGAGGAGCAGTGAGGTGAGGTGAGGTGAGGAGCAGTGAGGTGAGGTGAGGCAAGGTGAGGAGCAGTGAGGTGAGGTGAGGCAAGGTGAGGAGCAGTGAGGTGAGGTGAGGCAAGGTGAGGAGTAGTGAGGTGAGGTGAGGTGAGGAGCAGTGAGGTGAGGTGAGGTGAGGAGCAGTAAGGTGAGGTGAGGAGCAGTGAGGTGAGGTGAGGAGCAGTGAGGTGAGGTGAGGAGCAGTGAGGTGAGGTGAGGAGCAGTGAGGTGAGGTGAGGAGCAGTGAGGTGAGGTGAGGCAAGGTGAGGAGCAGTGAGGTGAGGTGAGGCAAGGTGAGGAGTAGTGAGGTGTGGTGAGGTGAGGAGCAGTGAGGTGAGGTGAGGTGAGGAGCAGTAAGGTGAGGTGAGGAGCAGTGAGGTGAGGTGAGGTGAGGAGCAGTGAGGTGAGGTGAGGCAAGGTGAGGAGCAGTGAGGTGAGGTGAGGCAAGGTGAGGAGTAGTGAGGTGAGGTGAGGTGAGGTGAGGAGCAGTGAGGTGAGGTGAGGTGAGGAGCAGTAAGGTGAGGTGAGGAGCAGTGAGGTGAGGTGAGGTGAGGAGCAGTGAGGTGAGGTGAGGCAAGGTGAGGAGCAGTGAGGTGAGGTGAGGTGAGGTGAGGAGCAGTGAGGTGAGGTGAGGCAAGGTGAGGAGCAGTGAGGTGAGGTGAGGTGAGGCGAGGAGCAGTGAGGTGAGGTGAGGTGAGGCAAGGTGAGGAGCAGTGAGGTGAGGTGAGGAGCAGTGAGGTGAGGTGAGGCAAGGTGAGGAGCAGTGAGGTGAGGTGAGGAGCTGAGGTGAGGTGAGGTGAGGCAAGGTGAGTAGCAGTGAGGTGAGGTGAGGAGCAGTGAGGTGAGGTGAGGTGAGGCAAGGTGAGGAGCAGTGAGGTGAGGCAAGGTGAGGAGCAGTGAGGTGAGGTGAGGAGCAGTGAGGTGAGGTGAGGTGAGGCAAGGAGCAGTGAGGTGAGGTGAGGAGCAGTGAGGTGAGGAGCAGTGAGGCAAGGTGAGGAGCAGTGAGGTGAGGCAAGGTGAGGAGCAGTGAGGTGAGGTGAGGTGAGGTGAGGTGAGGTGAGGCGAGGCGAGGCGAGGCGAGGTGAGGCGATGTGATATATGATAATTACGCACAGTAATAAGTTGGTTATGGTGGTTTATTGGAAGTATTTTAAACAAATACACAGCTCTGTTGATAAAACTTGTTATAAGTCTTAATCTATTTAAATAAAACCCTCTAAAATTCCAAATGTGAAGGATTCTATGTGAGCATCTTCACTGTGAAAGCTTAATCATGTTAGGGAGCAGTTCAAAAGTTAAAATAACATTAATATGTAAAGTTTTGAGATATACCCCCATCATGCCCATCCAACCAATTGCGAAAATGCTGACATCCTCGATATGTTCAAAGAGACTCACTGTCAAGCAAATCCTGGTACTACAGGTAGTGAGGCAGTGCGTTCAAGTATGTCAAGTTGACTGCCTTTTTACTCAATTCTTTCATACTGATGTATGGAGATGTCGATCATTAAAATGATAAGCGCTGTTGCTCTATAAGAGTCAGTCACTGATGTGAACTGGAACCAGGTTTGAACTGCTTCCTCTCTGTGTCTGTAATCACATGTGACACAGGAACCAATGACAAGTGGACAAGGGGATGCAACTCTTCACAGTGCCTTCCTAGCCACTGGGTCATGACATTTTTGGACATAAAACACTCTATCGAATGCAAACTTCAAAACAATGTCAAGTTGCACATAAAACAATATATAAGACAGGGTTTAATAGCAATTTTACATCACCATCATCAAACTGATGAAATATTTGTAATCTAAGTGACCATGTTCACCTACAAAAGACAGCGAATACCATATATGTTGGTTAATACATGAAGAATTACTGATATTCAAGAGATATTTGATTGGTTTGAAGAACAAACAAACATACTGGTATGTTGTGTGAACCGACACTCATGAACGCATCACATGTGACGTCAATGATCCATGAGTCGAGATGCACCATTTGTCTCATGCAGGATGAGTGTGAAAGTTTGGAAATCATGTGCAGCATACCATGATATGAATAAAGACACTGTGGTAACACTTGACTGATTGTTAGTTTTGTCATTAATTGGTACACATTGGCAACATCTCTTCTTAACGTACACAGAGCTGCAGTTAAGCTGTGTATTTGCATAAAATACCCCCCAAATTATTCAAAACCCAGTTACTTTCAATTAACTTGCGTACAGAAACGCATGCATTAAATGGAAAATTGTTTGAAAACAGCATGTGTAAATACCCAATGAAGCCTTTTCAGCATGCGTACAACCGAGCTAATTTCCGAAACACAATTACAAGCTAATTTACTTTCCGAGTCAAGCCTATATTTAGAATGTCATATAAATCTAAAACATTACTTCATTTTTTTAAAATCTCAAAATGCTTTCTCATTTTGAAAAAAAAACTAATAGAGTGAAAAATTATTGGTTACCCAATGAAAAATGTAATAACCCAATTAAAATAGAAACCTTCGAGTAAAAACTCAATTGCTCAAAAAGTTAACTGGAGCTCTGGTACATACTTCTATATATGTCTCTATGGTTCGCGTCTCTTCTGGCAGTGAGTATATTATCAAAACATGTCCATGGGGACCTCTACTAGCTGCCTGTCATGGCCCAGGATGACTTCAAGATTCTTTGTTACACCATGTACACAGACACATCTTTTCATTGCAACATTTAAGTAAAGCTTCAATCAACTCCAAGGGCTCAACGTATTATTGCAAAATGCAACCTAATATTTATGTCTCCAAGCACGATGTGCACGTAAAAGATTTTCAAAGATTGTGTCTAAGTTACCCTTACTTGTCCACTAAAGTACTCAATACTTTAAACTCAAAGTTTACTTGCCATATTACATCACTAATCGCTTTGTAATCTGTAATTTACGCTCAAATCATCTCCACCTCAGCATGCTCAGGGAGCAACTGTTTCATTTTTAGGGGCAGGGGAGGATGTTTTCTAAAAAACCACATCAAGCCCCTGTCTTTATAAAATGTTTTACTGACGCCTTGTATGAATAAAAATCTTGCACACAAGTGTCCAAAGACTAGTGAGTGAGTATTGTTTTACGCCGCTTTTAGCAATATTCCAGCAATATCACGGTAGGAGACACCAGAAATGGGCTTCACACATTGTACCCATGTGGGGAATCGAACCCGGGTCTTCGGCGTGACGAGCGAACGCTTTAACCACTAGGCTACCCGACCGCCCTGTCCAAAGACTAGAGCATGTGAAGCTCATGGTATTTACATATTTAAAAAAAATTTATTGAGCACCTGTTTATGTTGGAAAGAAATAATTTATCCTTAACCAAAATGTTTGGCATGACAAGTTTTGTTTGTTTGTTTGTAGTTGAACTCGCTCAACAATATTCTTGCCATATGAGACCCGTGAAGATTCCGGGGTAGAATAGGTCTTCAGCAACCCATGCTTGCCGTAATGGGTGACTATGCTTGTCGTAAAAGGCGACTAACGGGATCGGGTGGTCAGACTCACTGACTTGGTTGATGCATGTCATCGATCCCAATTGCGTGGATCGATGCTCATGACATTAATCACTGGATTGTCTGGTCCAGACTAGATTATTTACAGACCGCCGTCATATAGCTGGAATATTGCTGAGTGCGGCGTTAAACAACAAACCAACCAAATTCTTGCCATATGACACTGGTCTGTAAATCATTGATCTACGCATTGATCTACGCAATTGACATGCATCTGTCAAGAGAGCAGGCCTGACAACCCGATCCTGTTAGTTGCCTCTTATGACCAGCATAGTCACCTCTCATGACAAGTATGGGTTGTGGAAAACCTATTCTAACCCGGCTCTTCAAGGGTCGGCATGACCAGCATAGTCACCTCTTATGACAAGTATGGGTTGCGGAAAACCTACACTAACCCGGCTCTTCAAGGGTCGGCATGACCAGCATAGTCACCTCTTATGACAAGTATGGGTTGCGGAAAACCTACTCTAACCCGGCTCTTCAAGGGTCGGCATGACCAGCATAGTCACCTCTTATGACAAGTATGGATTGTGGAAAACCTATTCTAACCCAGCTCTTCAAGGGTCGGCATGACAAGCAAATACTTGAACCACAAGACGACATTACCACCCATTTTAATTGTAGAGGAGAAACACTTACCAGTATACAACAAATAAGGCCAACCTCACAGCAAGCTCTCCTAGGAAAGACTGGTGTTTGTGTTTTAACATCTTCATTCTGAAAAATGAAATGAAAAATGTAAGGCCATAATATATTAATTTCATATCTGCCTCAGTGCCTGTTTCGCTACCAAACATTCCATGTCACATCATTTTATTGATCCTAGTACAGCTGAATAATATAGCTGTGTTCTCATGTTACTGTAGTTGATGAAATACTCCATTCTGTGGTAGTATAACATATATTATCATACCTCCATGTCAGAATGATGAGATCTGAGTGGTCCACGTGACCTTGATAAAGTACTGTGTAACCCTCCTTGGAGGGGAAAAAATTAATCATCGGGGGAATAAATCTCTTATACCCCGCCATGAGCATATTCAGGCTGCACATGGATTGATGAGACACAGAATAAATCCCTTATACCCCGCTTCAAAGCAAAAAGCTGTACGCTTCTCCTTAGTCAATGGAAATCACGTGACATAGCAAGCTAACACAGACAGCTCAATAGAACAGCTGATTTTTTATCAATTTTGAATTTGTTTGAATTCTTTTACAATGTCATTTTTTAAACATGTTGGTAAGATAAATTCATTGTAGCAGGATCACGAGGGGTACATGGGGTTTTATGCATCCCTCGTTAGGTTTTATACCACTCGCATCTGGTTCGCGGTATAAAGCCTAACACAGGACGCATAAAACCCAATGTACCCCTTGTGATCTTGCTACAACTTATGTCCTCTTCCCCAGGCAAAGGAGTTTACTGACTATATATGTTCAGCTTCCACCCTTGATGAACTGGGCTCGATTGTAGCGCCACCAGTGGTTATTAAACAGTTATGTCCCTTCTATGTCCTTCCTATTGACCAATCAGGTTCCGCCTCTCACATCACTTGCATTTGTATCCATCAAAATGGTGGCTCCCAGTCAAGATGATCTGATCCATATTAAATCAAAATCTGTGATTAAACGGATCTTACCTCAAGATATGCATCAAATCATTTGAGCACCTTGATGAAAAGCATGTCAATATTTGGAAAATATCTGTTGACACTGAGTTGGCATGACACAACAACAACAATAACAACAACAACAACAATAATAGAGCTACAGATAAGCATCATATTTGTGCAAAATACCCCAAAAATATTCAAAACCAAATTAACTTTCAATTAACTTATGTACAGAAACGCATGCATTAAATGAAAAACTCAAATGTATAAAAACAGCACGTCTAAATACCCAATGAAGTTTTTTCAGCATGAGAACAAAGGAGCTAATTTCCAATTACGAGCTCATTCAATTTCCAAGTCAAGGCTATATATTTATTAAAATCTTAAAACGTTCACTAATTTGTGGAAAAACCCAATAGAGTAATGAATAGATGAGTGAACCATATTGGTTACCCTATGAAAATGTAATAACCCAATTAAAATAGAAAACCCTAGAATAAAAACTCAATTGCTCAAAAAGTTATCTTGAGCTCTGTAATAGTGAGTGAGTGAGGTTTTACGCAGCTTTTAGCTATATACCAGCAATATCACGGCGGGGGACACCAGAAATGGGCTTCACACATTGTACCCATGTCGGGAATCGAACCCGGGTCTTCGGCGTGACGAGCAAACGCTTTAACCACTAGGCTACCCGACCGCCCGAGCTCTGTAATAATAATGTCCATTTTTCCAGCTCAGGTTCTGCGCACAGGTTCTCATGAATTGGATACCATGATACATGTACTCTTTTCATCTTTCATGCTTCATCTGAATATCCATCGACAGTTAGTGTTCACATCCTCTGAATAACTTGTTTTTAAAATATAAAAATAAATTGCCTGCCTCCTCATATGTTTGTAAAATTTGAATGAAAATCTAATAATTAATCTATTGTGGCATATATATATATATACACACACACACACACACACACACACACACACACACACACACACACACACACACACATATATATATATATATATATATATATCATATTGTTTGTTTGTAAATTTATTTGTCCTGTTTGTTGTTAAATGCTGCAGTCAGAAATATTCCAGCCTTATTATTGCAACCTGTATGAAAACAGTTAGAGAATGGATGTCATGACAGTCATTAATACTCCAGCAAATATCACTGGAGCCTGTAACTGATTGAGTGAGACAGATGAACAGGTGGTTCATACAATAAGCAGCTTCCCACGCTGTCTGTGTATGATGCCATGCTCTCTTCCTGATCATCACTGCAGCTGTTACAGCATAAACACAATATTTAAATATGAGGTGAGGTGAGGTGAAATTGGGTTTAACGTCGCGTCCAAGATTATTGCACTTATATAGCGACGTGCATGTACGTGTGTGTGTTTGTGTGGCTGCTTGTACTAGTCCGGACTGATGCTGATTTATAGTGCTAGCTCACTGAGATACCATGCCGCAGTTTAACATGAATACCCCACTCAGACACAGTATACTGACTCCGAGCCGACCAGTCCTTGTTTAAGCCCCTTAATGCCGAGCGCCAGACAGGGTAACAACAAGTACCATCTTTTAACGTCTTTTGGTATGACGCGGCCGGGGATCGAACCCCGGACCTTCTGCTCTCTGGGCGGACGCTCTACCACAAGACCACGGAGGCGGTCTATTTAAATATGACCATTTATGATACACATCATATGGTCAAGAACATCATAATAGTTATAAAGTGAAAAGAAAAATCAACTAGTAACCAAAGTAAATTGGTTTGGATAATTTGACACACATCAGCAGGATCAAACCTTGCTGCTTACATCCATGAATACCACAACCACTTTTCCCATTACCATGCATATGTTTTTTATGTTACTATCCAGTCACAATATGACAAATTGCACATCTAATCTCAGTTACTTATCTGAAACAGAATAGGTCTGAAAATTGAGGCATGTTTTACTATCTGCTAGCATAATGAACTGGCTGATGAAAAAAAATAATGAGCCTGAAAATTGCCTTTGATCAGACACATTTCACACACATCATAAACAATCACTAAAGGGCGTTAGATCATTTGAAAGGGGGTTTAAACTTGTCCTTAGATCATTGGACTTAAATAGGGACATGTACTCGTGTGTGTGTGTGTGTGTGTGTGTGTGTGTGCGCGTGTGCGTGTGTCTGCGTGTGTGCGTGTGTGTGTGTGACTAGTGCTGTATACAGTACTAGCCCACTGAGACACCATGCATCAGTTTAAATAAATATCTCACTCAGACACAGTATACTGTCTCTGAGACTTCCGGTCCTTATTTTATCCCTTATGCTGAGCGCCAGACAGGAGAAAAACAAGTACTATCTTTTAACATATTTTGGATGACACAGCCGGGGATCAAACCACTGATGTTCCGCTGACCAGGCAGACACTCTATCCACTAGACCTAGACCCTGGAGGCAGTCTCAATTCGACCAGGAAGGCCCTCAATGTTTTTAGTATCTTCACTATGTAAAACAGTGGATTATTTCAGAGCTTTAGTATAGGATTGGAACCATACTGCTGCACATCTTGCCTCAGATATAATCCTACACCAATAACGTGATACCTATACTAACTGATCTGGAAAATTATATGAAAAAAATGATTAAAAAAGTAGCATGCATTCATGTTTAAAAAGTGACAAAAACGTACCACAAGGAACGCAACCCCGAGACTGAACACATTCTTCTTCTCAGATAGCCAAACTAAAATGAGCGCGGCCTATAGTTTGAGCCCGCGATAAAAGCATGCATATGTTATTGTGCAGACAAATGAATTGATAACAAATGTCCTGTAACGAATTAAATTATTGGCCTACAAGAACAGCTGTTCTACCTATCGACATCCATGTAAGACTATGTAGTGACTGGCCACTGTCACAATCAGCGATCGGGCCGTATCGTCACGCTAATAACATAACAGAATTTGAATTTTGTGATAAAATGGATTACTTTCTTGTTGAATACGGGGGAAATTGGACAAAAATAATTCTTACTTGTCGGCTAATCTTCAACGCCGAGTATGAATGAGAACTGTAACATAAAGTCTTTCCACGTTGATTGAGTCGGAAACCGGAAGAGGAAATAGCTGTCTGCTAGCATCACTCGGGACCACTCGGCTATTTTAGCGAGCCGATCGCTTGTTCGGGGAAACAAATCGTGATCATTCGTCATCACTCGCCCCTTTCCGTAGCCTGCTTGTCCCGGAATAACACGAGTTGGGTCACGAATGAAATCGTGATGTGATACATCTTGGCACATGCGTTGAAGTCTAGCAAAACAGACAATTATATATGTAAGCTTGACTTTCTTTGAATCTGAGTTCCTCATTACCAATGGTAGAGTGGTAAGTTATCGACTTGTAAATAATATCAGAGTGTGTCCATTCGGAACATCTCAAACGGTCATTACTTCAAAAACGTAATCGGGTGTTCGTACTTTTTAACAGGTTCTTTTAAAGGTAAACTTAAAAAAAACGGGAGAGGGGGGGGACTCAACGTGTTTTTTATTACATCAACTCTAACATTTTTGGTGCACTATTCCCGCAGAAGGTTGAAATGGAACATCAGGGTGATTCTACCAAAAATGGCTATATGCTTTCATAACAAATTGAGTGGAAAAATTGTAATTGATTTGGCATGATTATTGTCAGCTAAATTAATTTATGTTTAGCAGCCAATTTGTACTATATTAATTTATAAAACAAATGTGAAGAACAAAAAACATCAACATCAAATGTCATTAACATAACAGAGATACTTAATACCATATATAGGAAGAAATAATTCTGAGATTAATTCTTACTAATTAAGATATATCTTTATTCGTCAATAAGTTATTAACAAATCTCAGAATTATTTCTACTGTAGGTTCCAGTCGGGTTATTTAATGTTTGCTTAAATAGAGCTTGATTACATATATATCATGCACACAACAGGGCACCTCGCTTACCTCATGCAGGCCCTAACAGGCGAAATCCCCCGTGATTTACGCCGAGAACAGTTAACAATAAATGTCTGGGCTTTAACCCAACAAAACAACCTAATCCAACGCATCCTTAAAAACAATATAAACCTAAGACACCAAACACTAGCACGGAAACCCCCATTATTAATACCAAATTTCTCAACGCACATTCAACAACTTAAACATACAAAACCTAAACGATTTAAGACTAAACACAAAACCAAACAATATATTCACACCCAAACTACAAATCCCCAATATCGACACAATGCTCTCCTCCAAACTAAATAAGGAAATCGACCCTAATACCGCTAAAGCCATCACACTGTCATACATACACGAACAATGGCCAAATTGGTATCACATCTATACAGACGGGTCCTCCGACACGTGCTCGAAACACACAGGATTCGGCATCCATGCATACCAACCCGCATAAGAAACTAAATGCTATAGGCTCCCAAATAATAAATCAATTTTCACCGCCGAATTATTGGGGATGGCCACAGCTCTACAACCCCCCCCCCCCAATTAAAAAAAACCAAATCCTCACTGACTCACTAAGTGGACTTCAAGCTATTAAATATAAAAACACAAAAAATCAACCTAAATTATTTCAACAGATACTCAAAAGCTCCAGCAAGTTCCCCAATCTAGGTAAAGAAATTGAAGTCGTATGGATCCCTGCTCACGGCGGAGTGTTTGGTAACGAACACGCCAACGATGCAGCCAAAGCATCACTAAAATTAGAAGAAATAAGCATCAAACTACCAATATCTAAAAACGAAATTAAAAGTATCACTAAGAGTAAAATCGTCATAAATCCAAAACAATCGACAGGGCAATAATAAAATTACAGACAGGGCCCACTAAACTAAACTCTCACCTACACAGAATCAGAAAACAGCAAACAGGTGAATGCCCTCACTGTAACCAAATAGAAACACCCGAACACGCACTATTACACTGCACACACCACCAACACAGAACAACCCTCAAACCAATAAACTGTAACAAACAAATGTCTCTGGCAACACTACTAAACCACCTACAAAACTTCAAGGCATTAGGCATTTTCCTAATTAAAACAGTTCTACTAGGCCGCATCTAATAAACTACAAAATCATTCTATACCATGCCCAGACCCTTAAAAAAAATACAATAAAAAAACTTTTAAAAAATAATGAAAAAAATAATAATAAATCCAAAATAACACACAACCACTCAAACCCCCTTAGTTCCCCCACCTACAGCACCGCATTCTTCAAAATTCCAAATTTTCCCAAAATGAAATAAGCAACCCTAAAGTCCCCCAGGTTGCCCTTTCTCGGACATATCCTCCTCGGTAAACAGGGGCGGTCGGGTAGCCTAGTGGTTAAAGCGTTCGCTCGTCACGCCGAAGACCCGGGTTCGATTCCCGACATGGGTACAATGTGTGAAGCCCATTTCTGGTGTCCCCCGCCGTGATATTGCTGGAATATTGCTAAAAGCGGCGTAAAACCATACTCACTCACTCACTCCTCGGTAAAAAGACTAAATGGCCTGGCGGGCCGTGTACGAACTACGCATAAAGTCGAACAGCGCACGTAAAAACACCAACTCCCTCTCTCACTCGACTGCCAGTCAGATCCGATATCTGCCGTAAAGCCAAGAAATGCAATTGCGAAGGCAGAACTCACTCTATTTCTGAGAGATGGACAGCTACTCGAACGTATATAAACAGAGCAGGCAAAGATAAACATGAAATTATATCAATTTACGAAAATAGAAATCATATCAATGCAAAAACAGAAATTATGTGAATACCAAACTCACAATAGATATGTGTACCCTACTCACGTATATGCATGGGAAAGCATGTGCCTGATTGGAATGAACTGTTATGCAAGCCTGGTGCAAACGGGTGGTAATAAATTACGTACGTATAGAATGTTTAAAGATGTGTATGGGTGTGAAAGTTATGTAAGTATGTACAAGGCCGTAGGTAACTTTTTTTTTGACAGGGGGGGGGGGGGCAAATATTTGTACAAGTATCACTTGTCCCAAATAAAACTGTTTTCTATAAAAAAATCTAGACCCCCACCCCCCCCCCACCCCCCACCCCCCCGCGCTTTGCCTTCTCCAAATATAGATCAGGTGCTGCTCCTCTGAAGTTGGAAACAGGCAGATATACGAATATGAATGTGAATGAAAGAGTGTGTAAAACCTGCCTTTTAATTCTCCAACGAAGGAAAAATATTTTATATGGCTAGTGACGGGTAGAATATTTTATATACCCCTTTTATACAAACATATTTATGCTGTATATACTGTGATATATTTTATCTTCTGTCGTGTGTATCTCTGTAAATACATGTAAATACACTATCTGTCTGTCTGTCTGTCTGCAAGTGATTATCTTAAATGCTTGGTATTTGATTGAGTTAAGTTTATGGTTTAGTGTTGTACTTAAGGTATTGTATATTGGGCACCCATAGTCTATTTTTGATCTAATTAATGATGTGTATAATGATAGTAGGGTCTCCTTGGAGGCCCCCAGTTGTAGTGTGTTTCGGTCTTTACCGCATCTGTTTTATTAGGTTTTCAATGTGAGCACCCCAGGCTAGATTTTCATCAAAGATTAGTCCTAGAAATTTTGTCTGTTTTTGAAAATTTATAGGATTATTGTTTAATTGTAGTTTTGGGGTGTTTGCACGCATATTTTGGTGTTTAAAAACCATCCCTGTGGTTTTTTCTCACTTAGAATTCAGTCAAATTGCAACTACTTATATAGTGGAGGGACGCATAGCAATCTCTGATTGGTTAAGTTTTGAAGAAATTATTATAATTTATTGTCACCATTAGTTCCTTTGTTATTTCCTGTGTTGTTCCTGGTTGATACAATGTTGCCATAGGTTACCCAACTTATGCCTACGTATGTGGATAAAGGTAATTAAAAAACAATTGCGTTAGCTGAGCCGGCAGCATCTAATTCAGACTGACCGCCGACTTGTTTTGGGTGATGACCGTTATTGGTCAGCGCGTCAATCTGGAAATGACACGCAGCCGGGGACTGTAATGCAAGCAGGCATCCACTGTCTACAATTGGCAGGACTCTCATGATCACCTCCCCCAGAACTTTCTTGTCACGTGACCCCATTCAAATAGTTACCTCCCTTTGACTGTAAGCCCGAAAAGGCAGTATATGTTGCGGTCATCACAAGTTTTGTAGTGACAAAAAGAATATCTAATAAATATATCGAAAAAATTAACAATGTTACAATTGTTTGTGAAACTTTCGGAAAAAGATCTTCTTGTCCTCATTAGGTGACTCTTTACTGAAGGTATTTTATCTTGATAAGAAAAACTAGAGTTAACGTTAACTTTCAAACTTCCTCAGGGACATGCAAAAACGGACACCCTCCATCATCTTTCAACTGTCATTGCTGCGAAAATAAACAAATGAACACAATAAAGTTGTATTTTTGTTTGGATTTTTCCTGTTTATAGTGTTGAAACACAGAAGTGAATAATGTTTTCGTAAAAAAGGAAGAGAATATCATGTTTTCATCAGGGACAAAAAATTGTCATTTTCTGTAGCATGACCCATCTATATCCCAGTTAAAGTCATACACACAGAAAGAGCAATGTGTTGCAGCTTCATGTTTTTCCTATTGTGTTAGAAAATTAATTTTATCATCCAAAACTGGCTCCCACAGGAGATATCGTTTGGGTGAGATATAGAGAATACTACACTCATTGTCGTTAGATACCATAAACAGTTCACGAGTTTCTAACGAGAATGAGTGTGGTATTTTATTTATTAATTTAAATATATATTTAAATGTAAATATATAACAACTTTCGTTCGTTGACAGACCAAACTGAAAGCAGTTGCAAAATCTGGTTGCACAATCATGAATATTGATAGATGCCCAAATATGGGCATTGTTGACATTTCTATGCATACACATTAACAACATGCACCTGCAGTTGTGTTTGCAAACAAAACAGCACCGACGCTCAAGATCCTTTTTGAAGAATTTCTTCAACTTATGGTAATTCAAGCGCCATGTTGTTAATGCGAAGGGCACCTATAAGAACATTTGAAAAGTCACATTAGCGCCGCGCTTTGAATATCGGACTAACAGTCA